TCGTATGCAGTACGATTAGACACCACTCATAAGCTACATACATAGTAAAAGGGAGACGTAAAAAATATATATTTAAAGCCACCAGATGATGGAACAATTAAATATTCTGTAAATTACATTGTGTGGGGCAAGATCCCTTCAACCCAATTTCAGGAATGAAGAACTCCTTATACACTCTATCAAGGGAACTGCCACTGAAGATCAGATGGATTAGCCAGGTTTTTACACAGGCGAATAAGAAATGGGAAAAAAATGTAACAATGTAATGATAGGAACTAAGTAGTATCATTTTATAGCTAACATTCCAACTCGAACGCGATTTGCTTATTTCTTACCCAATAATCTTAGAGTGCCCATGGGGAATAAAAGTCAGTCCATCATCACCACTTGATTCATCAGAAATAAATATTATATCTATGTCAGCAATCCTATTGGTCATGATTCATCACAAGCCAAATAATGGCATGCTTAGACAATAATTCAAGCAATTAACTTATATATCATTTTTAAATCTGCTTGTTTCCTCCAGAGCAACAATGCGGAGTTTGTGGTTGTGAAATTATGTTCTAGTGCAAAGAAAGCGTAATGGAAAATTTTACAAAGAGCAGTGGAGATTGTGCAGAATTATCTAAATTGTATACATTTCCATGATTATTCATATTCATGAGTCTTTACAACAATGCTTCTTATAGTGTCATTGACATCCAGGATTTTCTATGTCCTGTAATACAGCAGTTAAAAAAAAAAAATCCACATTTTGGGGTGGAGCCTGACTACCGAGCAGACCAGACGTGTGGGGAGCGAGCTCCCATGCCTGGCAACAGTAAATCGGGTCTACTCCCGCCTGATCGCAAATTTGAATACTGCTGTATGCCGACCCTACTGAGGGAACTCCCATGAGTCGGTTGATAGTATATCTTTCTTGTGACTCTCCGGCAATGGATCACAGGTACTGAGACCTTGTGGCCTATTTAAGGTCGGAGCTAGGAAGAGATGGCCACTCTCCTTGCTCTTTCACTGGCCGGGTGAGCTCTAAACTTTGCTACCCCTACCCCCCAAACCAGTGGGGGTTATCTCGGTGCCTGCTGACCTGACCTATACAGTCTGAACTACCATGGCACCCATGGCCTGTATGGCATGACAAAAACTGAGTTGTGCAAGATGGTGGACACCTCTGCTACAACACCACGGGGCCTGCTGCCCCACTGCCCCACTGCCCCACTGCCCCGATCTGACTTTATCATACATTGTCTCACATAGAGGCTACTATACAGCACGTCTGTGACAAGCTGGAGATGCGTTGGAGGCTGGCAACATTGATCTCTCTGACGATTTAAGGAAGCACGGAGGTCCCAGGAGCAGAAGCTGGTGAGGCCTCACCAGGGCAAACAACCAAACACCCTACGGGACCTCCTGGGCTGAATGCTAAACAGGATTCAACCCCACATAAGTGAAGGATTACCAGACCCAAGCAACATCATACATCTGGAACCTGCTGCATTTTCCCGTATGGGAAGGACTTGGACACTCAGTGCCGCTGAATCCGCGGTGAAGTGGTGCCGGCCTTCATTTTGGCCTGTGGCTGGAGAGGTACCTCATCCTGGCATAACGTTGCTGTTCTCCCCACCAACTCCTGTGCATTCACACGCTCGCTAGCCCTGCCTACACAAGGTGACGGCTGGAATGAGCATGCAATTTTATGTTAAGATTAACCTTTCATTGACCAGAGGCATGATAATGTTGAATAATCAATAGTGTAGCTCAAATATGAATGTTTCCTTTTGTATTGTTTTTTATTTCATATATACTGGTCACACTCCCCTAGCAAGATTTAACTAAACTCAGTGCAGCATTTTAGATGCTTTATGGGAGATGGTTTCTCCCCTACGGGTTTGTAAGCTGTAGAGCACCCTGAACCTAGTTACTCCAGCCCAGCACTTTATTTAGCACGAGGCTAACAAGGCATTTGCATTGAGCGGCACTTTCCAAGGGGCAGCAATGCCCAGGCAAATTCCAGCCTCATTTATGGGGGCCCAATAGCTGGCTGGCTGGCCACCTTTGCTCATCCCCTCCCCCCAGGGGCAGGCAGCCAGTTGTGTTCTGGGTGGGCGGTGAGGAAGCACTGGTTTGTGAGCTTTTCTTGCTCAGCTCCCTCGCTCGCCACGCAGTGGTGCTGGGAGCCTGAATATGACATCAGCCCGGCTCCCTTGCCATCTACTCTGCCCGCCTGCCTGCTTTCCTGCCTACCCACAAGCCTGCCATCTTGCCCAGCATCCCCACTGGACCCCAGGTAAATAATTCACCAAGTTCTCCCAAAAAGAAGGCTGGGTGGATTAAAATTTTCACAAACATACTTCATACAAAAACACACAACCACTGCTCAGTGCTAAATACAACCCTGCATGCATGGAAAAATGGTAGAGCCCCAGCTGTCAAAGCATTGTTGGAGTTGCACAACAGATGGGGATCTACCTTTTGCCCCCCCTTTCCCAAAATAACTCATGCACCAGAGCCCTCTCTACTTTACGTCTGCCTCTGCTTTGGGGTGGGGGGCTAGATTGCATGCCAGGAAGTGTGGGGGAGGGGGACGAGGTCCAGGTGGTCCAAGCAAATGTTTACCCAGGGTCCAATCACTATTAAAGATGGCCCTGGATATTGTACATGTCTCTAATATATCTCTAGGGCTGTCTAGTATGGTACAATCTGTGGATATCATATACATACTATGTCTTTCTAAAATACTAATTTCTATATAGTAAGCAATTGAAGCTAGACATGTATACTTAACTTGTTCCTTACATAATATAAAATGTGCAGAATTCTTGAAGCCATGTACCAGTCCAATACTTATGTTGCTGTACATGTTGATGCTGTGGCATTATAAAGTTGTCTGTATCTACATCCATGCACAACAAAAACAAAGAATTATAAATTTTAAAAAAATACAGATTTATGTATATGTAAATATTATTTTTTTCCTATCCCAAGTTAAAGTGTGTAATTTTTTTTTGCAGGTATTGGCTGTGTTTTAGCTTACAGGTTTGTATCAATCTATAGAACACGGCTGTGGATAGGATAAAGAAGGTATGGTAGGTATGCAAAATGAGTAGGTGTCTTCTAAAGTCCAACTCTTTCCTCCCTATAATGCAGTAAATTTAAAGCTAAACATTTTAGTTTCAGAGCAGTCCGGTGCAGATCCAGGACTAGAGCAGTGGGTAAGTATATTTAAAGGGACACTCCAGACACTAGAGCACTTTAGCTTGCTGAAGAAAGAGTCTGTCCTCTTTTTTTTTTATTTTACAAAAAGTGCAAATTTCAGTAGAAATTGTAATAAAAAAAATAACCCCAGAAACAAACAAATTTCCCAAAAAATATGTACATGAATTTAAAAAATGACTTTTATTAATATAATAATATCTATAAAAACTAATAATAATGGTTTTAAAGCAGTGTAATTCTCTAGTATCTAAAGTTCAGCTGGATCAAATAAACAAGAATGTTGGCTCAGTCAGTATTATTAACACATCCGCGGGAAAGGATGAATTATAGCAACGCAGATAATGTAGTAATTGAGACGTAAACTAGTAACAAAGTGAATGAAATGTTGTTTTAAGCGTAGAGCTCCCTCTATTGTTGCTGCTTATGATTATCTAACAGGTGGAGAAAAAGACAGAGAAATTAAACATTTCACTTTCAAAGGTTGCAGCATAATGTACAAAAAGCACTGTAGTGCTGAATGTGTAAAAAGTAGACTGACATAAGCAGACGTCCCTGACTGATATAAAGCAATAGGAAAACTCCAAAAGAAATTGGCACTTTTAGAAATGACCTATTTAAACCCCTAGGCTGTTACTCAGACTACGGGTGCTGTTACTTCCTGGTTTGTTTCGCTCAGTGGAACTAAACTCAAGAGGCAGCAATTGTTCAGAGCTAGTGATGTCGCGAACCGTTCGCGAACTTCCCGCGAATGGCTCGCCTTCAACATGGATGCTGTCCAGGAGGTGGGAGGGTCTGGGAGGGAGGGTCTGCTGGAGATTGGCCGGGATGTGTCAGCTGACCAGAGCTCGCCGCGAACGGTTCGTGGCGAACCGTGGCGAGCCGTTCGCGGGAAGTTCGCGAACGGTTCGCGACATCACTATTCAGAGCACCTGCCTTGGAAAGTCTGTGATTGGACAGCCACAGAAAGTCTGGGTGGGGTTAGAAGGGCAGGGCTTGTAATGCTGCAGACAAGAGAAATGCAGGTTTTGCAAGCTGTTTTTAGCTAGGATCATCTACATAATAATTAAATACATGCATGTTTTAATTTATGGTATATCTACCAAATAGTTATTTTATTTGGACAGTGGAAGTCTGTTGCTCTATTAGTGAGTTGCAGTCAGTATTGCCATTAGCACTGTTTGATTTGTTACCACATTATTAGTTACATTATTCTTTGCCTTAAATTCGTAATTCAAATTTCAAAATTGTCGTTGAGAGTTTTTGTTTTTTTGCATGCCACACAGTAATAAAATTATCTTCCAGTACGTTGCCTGACATGTGTCTCTGGATCCACCCGATAGGACTACAGGAGGCAGCGATGTTTTCAAGTTGTGGTTCTGCAGAGAAAAGAGTTGAAATACTTCAATTCTACTACTCGTTCACGTGGAGTAGTGATCCATGATATCATTAGTATAGAGTTCCAATAATAATTTCTCTATTAGGTTGGAGTGCTGGACTATATTGATGACTTTGTATTGACAATCGAATGACAGAAAAAAACCAATGCGTGCAGAATGCATTGATTGCTGACTGATATAAAATATTCTAAATACTGTCCTGTTTATTAAAACCTAAAAACTAAACTTCAACTAACTCCGTGAAACATTGATGGATTAATTATCTGTATTGCAGTGTTACTACCCTGTGCCTACCATGTACATTCCTATACAGAATTATTCTCCAGCCGGTAAAAATATTACCCTTTAACTTGCATTGGAAATTTGACATTGAAACCCTTGCCATCTCATTCCATCTGTGCTTCAATGAAAAGCAATCACAATATCTTAAATGATCAGTAATGCTAATATGTTAATAGGTAACTTATCTTATTCCACAGACATTAGGTGCATTCCGTCCGCTGACTACAAAGCAATAAAGTGGACTTCCTATTTAGAGAACTAAATTGTTTATCAGGCTAATTCCGTTCAAACATCCCTGCACTGGTATAGTGACCATAATTAGCACACGTGCCACACAGACTTTATTACTTCATTACCCTTGGTTCCTGTATCTGAGAAGCTACTGTTTGCATGTAAAATACAAAATAAAAATGGCAGTTCCACATTTACCAGTTGATACTGAACTAAATTTTCTTTTTTTCGTAACTGAACTCAGTGCAACCAGATTTCTTTATTAGTCTGTAAATAAAGTGGTTTATTCACTTAGATCAAAGTATAGATGTTTTTTATTAAAAGTTTAAGGTCAGTGCGGGGAGCTTTTTTTTTTTTGAAGGCCTGTGTATGTTGTACAATCATCCAATCACAGCCCTAAAGATAAATGTGCTTGTTTACATAGGCAAGTTCAGGACAGGAAACCTACTTCTGCTTGTTTGTTTGTTTTTTTGTTTCACCCTACATTCATCGATTCTTGGAGAAGTTACAGATACTGTAGATTAATATTTATTTATTGTGAGATGCAGAAATTATTTGCCATCTTTACAGGATTGATAATTTAGCACCTTGAAATGATTTGAAAATATGTATGTGACAAGAACTGCAATAAGTAACTAACAGAGATCTCCTATTTAAAAAATTTTTTGTTTGTTTGTTTTTTTATAAATCATGAGTTTTATTGAAGTTTTTAGGTAAAGATATAACAGGCACAAAAAGAAAGAAGGAATTGTAACGTTAAATAATGAGACTCGCAGGTCTCTTCTTCTTAGAGTTGGCCTTGCAGAGTCAATTAGTAATAATGTCCAGTAGCACTAATGAAACCTACAATTCTTATAAAAAGTACATGGAACTGAAAGGTCACAGTAATACATTATTCTTGGCAGGGCCGGCCTTAGGCAATTAGGCGCCCTGTGCAAAAAGTCTTCACGGCGCCCCCCCCACCTCCCACCAAGTTGCCTGAATACAGTAACACACACAGGCACCGGGGACGTGTGTATCACGAGGCAAACAAGGCATCTGCCTTGGGCGCCACTTTGCAGGGGGCGGCAAAAAAAAGCATCCCTCCAAACCCCCAGGCAGATCCCTTGCTTGCCTCGCATCCTGGGGGGCTCAAGAGCTGACCGGCTGGCCACTTTTGAGCCCCCCCAAGGCTGGCAGCGGGCAGCGAAGGAGCATACTCACCTGAGCTCTTCCTGCTCAGCTTCCTCTGCGCCGCTTAATGAAGCCGGGAGCCAGAATATGACGTCAGTCCGGCTCCCGGCATCACTAAGCGCTGCTTACTCAGCCTGTGCGCCCCCTGCCTGCCTGCCCAGCAGCCACACTGGACTGCTGGTAAGAAATCCACTCCAGCTTTCCCAGGGAGGCTGGGTGGATTTAAAATAAATGTAAAAAATATTAGTTTGTGAGTGTTAGTGGAAATGTCTGTGTGTGTGTCTGTGAGTGTTTATTTTGAAGTGAATGTGTGTGTGTGTGTGTCTGTAAGTGAATGTGTGTGTGTCTGTGAGTGAATGTGTGTGTTGGTCAGTGAGTGTATATGTGTCAGTCAGTGAGTGTGTATGTGTCAGTCAGTGAGTGTGTGTCGGTCAGTGAGTGTGTGTCAGTCAGTGTGTATGTGTCGGTCAGTGGAGTCGTGCATCTTTCAGTGAGTGCTTGCGTCTGTCAGTGAGAGTGTGCATCTGTTAGTGTGTGTCCAAGTAATAGTGTATGTGTGTATGTCATTGTTTGTCAGTGTATATGAGAGTGTGTGTCTGTCAGTGAGTGTGCGTCTGTCAGTGAGTGAGCGTCTGTCAGTCAAAGTGCGGCCTTGACAAGAAGGGGTGGGGGAAATTTAAACTCGGTTACAGGCATGTACACACACACTCAGTTAAAGGCAGTCACACATACAGGCACAGGCACAAACAATGGCACAGCTACAGCGACACACACAGACAGACAGTCACATAGGCAGTCACACACACAGACAGACACACAGGCAGTCACACACACAGACAGACACACAGTAACACACACATAGACAGTTATACACACACAGGCAGGCAGTCACACAGATAGAAAGTCACACACACAGGCAGGCAGTCACACACAGACAGATAGTTACAGACAGACACACACAGGCAGGCAGGCAGTCACATACAGGCAGTCACACATACAGGCAGTCACACACACAGGCAGTCACACACACAGACAGACAGTCACACACACAGACAGTCACAGGCAGGCAGTCACACACACACACACAGAGACAGACAGTCACACACACACACACAAGGACAGGCAGTCACACAGACAGTCACACACACACACACAGTCACACGCACACAGGCAGGCAGTCACACAGACAGACAGTCACACACACACACAGACAGACAGTCACACAAACAGGCAAACAGTCACACACACACACTTACCTCTTTCCAGTGGATGCAGTTGGCTGATGGGAAGCATCTTTCCCTCTTCCTGTACAGCAGGGGCTTCGGGAGGTATTAGCCCCGTCTCCGCCTCTCGATAAGCCCCGCCTCCGCCGCTCGGTAAACCCCGCCCCCTCTGCCGCGATTTTTTTTTTTTTTTAAATAGACCCGGGTGGAGAACAATTAATCCTCCAGCCAGGTACCTCTTTTAGCTCCCCTGCACTCCGGCCATGAGTGAGCTGTGTCGGCCACAGGGCGCCCCCTGTTCCATGGCGCCCTGTGCGGTCGCACAGCTCGCACACCCCTAAGGCCGGCCCTGATTCTTGGCATTTAGCAGAGCTGTAACAAACCTTTTATAATGATGGCTAGTATTGCAGCAATCTTTGGTCTAATCCTTAGTATGCATTCTGTAAAATCAACCAAAACCAGGAGGATTTGTACCAAAGGCACTTAATGGATAGTTACAATGACAAACATTGTTTTTTGGGGGGAAGGGGGGTTGTATCTCTTTTTCTAAATAAATAAATGAATAAAAATACTACTCCCCAAAAAAGTTATTTTATTCAAAGCAATCAATTTATTAATGTTTAACAGAATCATGTATTTATAGATGATGTCAACAATAAAGAAAAATGATGCATTAATTTTTTTATTTTTTTTTACAAATCCTTACAATGCATTAAACACAGAAGGTATTGTATCTGAATAATTTCTGAATATAAAAAGACTTTAATAAAAAGTTAGTAGACTATGTTTTTTATTTTTTATTTTTTACGAGTGTACCCCAAATGGGAAAAATTAAGCTATATAGAAGCATCAATAACTACTGCAACGACAAGACTACATGTGCTCACAACGTAATCTAAGAGGACCACATGAGGGAGAGGAGAGCGAAGTAAAGGGAGAACAGGGACCACAGGAACTACAAAGATGGACACAGAAACGACAAGGAGGCAACAAATAAGACAACATTCCCCACATTGAGGACAAATGAAAAAACACCACGGACAAAGTAGTTAAAGGACAGAAATTGAGAGATCGGACAGAAATTTTTTGTACTAGAGGACCTTATCGAATTTGCCTAGACCTCTAAACCTCTAAGCTGCATCAATTGATAAATGGTACCATGGTGTCAGAACTGAATTCATGGCATCAGCATTTTTTTACGAGTTAAAACATAGCTGCAGTTTTTTTTTATACAGTGTGTGTAACTCCATGTTTCAGACAGAATTGGAAGATACCAGTGTGCAACCCAGAGCTAAGCCACTGATGTGCCGAATACATACTCTGGGTTTAAACAGCACTGTGTTTTATTTTATATTGACCGTTTCCATCTACACGGAAACTGTAGGAAAAAACCCACAAATAGGTTACTCACTAGCCTACTAACTACCGTTTTGCCCATAGGAAATTGCTATTGCTTGGAGTATGAATGAGTCAGTTTGATAAAAGCCAACACTGATAAATATTACATAATATGTTGTAAATAAATCTTGACTACAATGGGTGTAAAAAGGCAAAAGGTTGGTGGCTATTGTATTTTATGGGAATGTTTGCTGCTGTAATGCAAATTCAGGCCCTGTTTTATCACTATGACAGGCATCAATTAGAGAGCAATAGACCCCTAAATTGGTATGTGCTTCGAGAGGCCCAGCAATACATTTCTGGTTTGTTTGTTGGGCAGGTGTGGGCTGTGAAGACAGAGCTGGAATAGGTATATGCATGTACAGCATTCCAAACAAGTATTGTTTCTGAAAAACACAAGTATTGCTCCAGGGGAAAGGGCTGGGTATGAGAAAATAGACTATAGTAAAGAAATGTCAGTAACACAGACCTCAAAACATCTACTGCACTTAAAGTGAAACTCTATCAGAAATGTCACTAAAGTCCAAATAGCAACAAAGCAAATGGGGCAATACCAACGAGCTGCATATGTAAAATCCAGGCAGAATTCATCAATGTCTGGATTTTGTAATCCAGGCCCTGAACGAACCTGAATTTGGCACGTATTCCAGCCATACCAAATGCTTTTGGATGGCAGAAATCTGGGCTTGAATGTTTCAACTTCGTGATGGCATGTAAAAAAAAAAAAAACTATTTGCCAGCTGGCATAGTGTCACGGTTCTCACTGTGACATCCAGATGGCCAGACGTGGTCGCCCCAGTAGTGCCCAACAGAGAATGTGAGCTTGGAGGAAAGACGAGACAGGGGGATATGATAGAAACATTTAAATACATAAAGGTAATCAACACAGTAAAGGGGGAGACCATATTTAAAAGAAGAAAAACTACCACAACAAGAGGACATAGTCTTAAATAAGAGGAGCAAAGGTTTAAAAATAATATCGGGAAGTATTACTTTACTGAGCGGGTAGTGGATGCATGGAATAGCCTTCCAGCTGAAGTGGTAGATGTTAACACAGTAAAGGTGTTTAAGCATGCGTGGGATAAGCACATAGGCGTGTGCAGCCTATTGCATTAGGGTGTGCACCCTAAAGCACAAACACACGCCGCATGTATATATATATAGATATATATATACATACACACACATACATACACTGCTGTTTGTGTGTGTGTGTGCTGTTAGTGCGCTGTGTGTGGCTGCTGTGTGTGTAAGGGTGCTGTGTGTGTGTGTGTGTGTGTGTGTGTGAGGGTGCTGTTAGTGTGATGTGTGTGTGAGGGTGTTGGTAGTGTGCTATGTGGGTGAGGGTGCTGGTAGTGTGCTATGTGTGAGGGTGCTGGTAGTGTGCTGTCTGTGAGGGTGTTTGTGTATATGTGTTAGGGTTCTGTTAGTGTGCTGTGTGTGTGAGCGTGCTGTTTGTGTGATATGTGTGTGTGAGGGTGCTGTTTGTGTCGTGTATTTGTGAGTGTGCTGTTTGTGTGAGGGTGCTGTGTGTGTTTGTAAGGGTTCTGTGTGTGTGTGTTTGTGAGGGTGCTGTTAGTGTGTGTGAGGATGCTCTGTGTGTGAGGGTGCTGTATGTGTGCTGTGTATGTGGATGCTGTATGTGTGTGGGTGCTGTTTGTGTGCTGTGTGTGTAAGGGTGCTGTTTGTGTGCTGTGTATGTGAGGGTGCTGTGTGCGCGCGCTGTTTGTGTTAGGATGCTGTATGTAAGTGCTGTGTGTGTGGGTTCTGTATGTGTGTGTGTGCTGTATGTTTGGAGGGATTGTGAAGGTGGGGGCAGATTAGTAAATAACCCTCCTCCCTTCTTACCTTATGTAGGGAGGGGGGATCCTTGCTGTCCAAGGGAGAGTGAACTCTAGCCTGTTTGTGCTTTAGGGTGCACACCCTAATGCAATAGGCTGCGCATGCCTATGTGCTTATCCCACGCATGCTTAAACACCTTTACTGTGTTAACATCTACCACTTCAGCTGGAAGGCTATTCCATGCATCCACTACCCGCTCAGTAAAGTAATACTTCCCAGATCTCGCGAGAGGAACCTGGCGGAGCTTCTGTCTAGAGCTCCCCGGGTCCTCTCCTGCCTCCCTTCATGCTGCTGTGGGCTGGTGAGGTAGATCTTTGTTCTCCCCGCCGGCCCATGGAGGCTTAGAGCAGAGCCGGCACTCAGATAGAGCCAGCTCTGCATGAGCCGACAGGGGAGATCCGGAGATCTCCCCTGCCGGCAGGGGTCAAGTCCTGGGGAATAAAGTATGGGAACTCTCCCAAGATTCCCATCACCCCCAAAAAATAATATACACTCGTATGTATATATATATATACACTCACACACACATACTCAGACACACACAGACACACACACTCACAGACACACACACATTCACAGACACACACTCACTGACACTCACACACACACTTACAGACACACACAGATACATTCACAGATACACACACACACACACTTACAGACACATACACTCACAGACACACACATACATTCACAGACACACATACACACAAACAGGCACACACACATACATTCACAGACACACACACACACACACATATATTCACACAAACACTTACAGACACACACACACACTCACAGACACACACAAATACATTCACAGACACACATACATTTACAAATTATTTTTTTTAATTAAAAATTGTCCACCCACCACCCCAAAAAAATAATATACACTCGTATGTATATATATATATATATATATATATATATATATATGCGTACACACACATACACTCACAGACACATACACTCACAGACACACACACACATTCACAGACACACACTCACACACACACTTACAGACACACACACACATACATTCACAGACACACATACACACACACTTACAGACACACACACACACATACATTCAGACACACATACACACACACACTTACAGGCACACACACATACATTCACCTACACACACACACATACATTCACACAAACACTTACAGACACACACACACACACTCACAGACACACACAAATACATTCACAGACACACACACATTCACAAATTATTATTTTTTTATTAAAAATTGTCCACCCAGCCTCCCTACCTGGAGAGCTGGCGTGGACTTGTCCCTGGGGTCCAGTGGGTCAGGCGCCTATCTCTATACAACAAGCGGCGAGGGAGCTGTGTGCTCTCTGCTTCCTCTTGCCGCTCGGGCTGTCTGCTGTAGCTGGGAGCTGGAATATGATGTCATATTCCGGCTCCCGCCATCAGCAAACGGCGAGCAGCGAGAGGAAGCAGAGAGCACACAGCTCCCTCGCCGCTTGTGATATGGAGACAGGCGCCCGACCGGGGCCTTTCCTATCGACTGGGCAGCAGTTGCTGCCAAAGGAGGTGATCCTAAAAGGAAAAAAATATATTTTTAAACAGAAAGTCTACAGGTAAAGAGAACGGCCAGTAACAAGAAGAGATTATGGTGTTTAAAGCTACCCTCATGTATTTTTACATTACTATGGGGTGCATATAGGGAGATTATGCTGTGATTTCACATCAGAGTTCCACAATTAGGCATAAACAGCTGAGTCAGAAAAGTATCCCCAAACTTTGCCAAGTTAGAGATTTTACATTCCGCAACACACCTGTCTGCTTACCACAACTCCCTGTAAAACATTAACAAGAAATATACGCTGTTTCAACTAGTTTCTGGAGAAATACTGGTGCCTGTGGTTTATGTTTAAACAATTAAATGGTTCTATGATAAATAGTATATGTGAAATACTTATAACTTATTAGTCGAGTGCTTGTGTGTAAAAGGAAGTATCTTACTCTCTTGTAATATATCTTTCATGGGGTTCCGAGTAGCAACATATGTAGGATAAAAAAAAAAAAAAAAAGAACCGTATATTGTCCAGATGGTAATAAAATATTTCACAAACACAAGACAAGTAGATACACTCACGTAAGGTCATTCCTTACCTCTCTTCAATGCTGGTTTTTCAATCTCAGAGAGAAAACAGGGACATATAGTAGTGCAGTATGTCTGTATAATAAGCGATAGCAGGAAGAATATAATGATCTCGCTCACCTGGACAGGAGCCTAGTGGATCCCTGGCTCCAGGCCCGGACTGGCCATCGGGCACACCGGGCAAATGCCCGGTGGGCCGCGGTGGCCATGGGCCGAGGCCGGCAGGGGAGGTCCCAGGATCTCCCCTGCCGGTCTATGCAGGGCCGGCACTCTCCCAGCGCCGACCCGCTTTGTGCCACGACGGGCCGGTGGGGAGATCAAGGATCTCCCTGACCGGCCCACATGCGGCCGCCGGCGGGGAGGGAGGGAGACAGCCAGCCAGGCTGGAGAGAGGACTCGGCGGAGCTCTAACTTGCAGCTCCGCCGGGTTCCTCTCGCGAGATCTGGCACGTTGCCATGGCAACGACCGGATCTCGCGAGAGTGAACTCTAGCCTCACAGGCTAGAGTTCACTCACCCACGAGGACCACCAGGGAACACCGCCACCCTGCCTGCCAGCGTGCCGGTCCCCCCCTCCCTTCCAGGCTAAAGGTAAGAAGGGAGGGGGGGGAATAATGCCTGTTTTTTTTATTTTATTTTTTTTTATTTACCCCCCCCTACACACACACACAATAACATTTATACAGCACTCTCACACCCATCACACACAGCACTCTCACACCCATCACACTCACAGCACTCTCTCACACAGCACTTTCACACACAGCACTCTCTCACAGAGCACTCTCTCACAGAGCACTCTCACACACACACAGCACTCTCTCACACAGCACTCTCACACCCATCACACACAGCACTCTCACAGAGCACTCTCACACACTCACAGCACTCTCTCACACAGCACTTTCACACACAGCACTCTCTCACAGAGCACTCTCACACACACACAGCACTCTCTCACACAGCACTTTCACACACAGCACTCTCTCACAGAGCACTCTCTCACAGAGCACTCTCACACCCATCACACTCACACCACTTTCACACACACAGCACTCTCTCACAGAGCACTCTCACACACACACAGCACTCTCTCACACAGCACTCTCACACCCATCTCACACAGGGCACTCTCACACGGCACTCTCACACCCATCACTCACACCGCACCCTCACACACACACATACTGCACCCCTCACATACACACAGAACCCCCCCCAACACACTGCACCACACACATACACAATACTTCCAAATATATATGTGTGTGTGTGTGTGTGTGTGTATATATATATATATATATATATATATACACACACACACACACACACACACACACACACACACACACACACACACACAACACTCTTAAAGGACCACTCTAGCCACCCAGAACACTTCAGCTTAATGAAGTGGTCTTGGTGCTAGGTCCTTCTAGGGTTAACCTATTGTTTTATAAACATAGCAGTTTCAGAGAAACTGCTATGTTTATCAATGGGTTAAGCCTTCCCCCAAAGCCTCTAGCAGCTGTCTCATTGACCGCCGCTAGAGGCGCTTGCGTGCTTTGCACGCAAGCGTCCATAGGAAAGCATTATAAATGCTTTCCTATGCGACCGGCTGAATGCGAGCGCAGCTCTTGCTGCGCGTGCACATTCAGCCGACGGGGCGGATCGGAGGAGGAGAGCTCCCCGCCCGGCGCTGGAAAAAGGTAAGTTTTAACCCCTTTCCAGAGCCGGGCGGGAGGGGGTCCCTGAGCCACATATGCATCACATTACACCACAAACACAACACGACTAAAACTGACCTTATTACACAATACCACACCGCGACCAGCTCACTCTACACACACGCAATACCACAAGCAGGCTCCAAACACATGCACAATACTCTTTCCTGGCCTTTTGTCTCCTGGTATCCATTTATAGAGACACCAGAGACAAGTTGCAAGGAAAGACAGTGCAAGCATGTTATTAAATTTGCTTGCACTGTGCAGAATAAATACAGGACTTTTTTCTCATGCTAGAGCTCTTCAGCAGAGCTCTGCGCATGGTCTGCCCTGGAAGAGCATTGAACCAACATGCTCACTTTGAGAGGAGGCGTGTTTGTCATTGGTGATGACAAAACACACCTCCTATGCCCCGCCCCCTTTTTAGTGGGCCGCTGTGTTAAAAAAATGCCCGGGCCGAATTTTTCTCCCAGTCCGGCCCTGCCTGGCTCCAAGGTTTAATGCCTAATGTCAGAATATGGAGTGATACCTCTCCTTCTATATCCCTGGATCCTTTACATAAAGTGCTGGCAACAGTGCTTAAAATACATTATTGATTAATGGACCACAAAAATATTTGTAAAAACTATTTTAAAAAGAGCGCTTAACCTAGTCCAGCGTTTAATTGCCAAAATGAGTTTTAATGTAACAAACAGCTTCCTCAGTCTACATCTGGACTCTGGGCTAAGTGCATTTTTTTAAAATTGTTTTTGCAAATGTTTTTATGTCCATTAATGCATAGTTTATTTTAAGCACTGTTGCCAGCACTTCATATTATGGATCCAAGGACACTTATACTATCATTGTACAATATTTTGGGGTGGGGAATGGTACCTTTCACAAGTGTTGTTTGAGCTGCTGTAATTTTTTTTATCAAAAGACACTAGGATTTGCACTAATTCAATGGTACTCATTTTATTAAAGGGACACAGTAGGCACCCAGACCACTTCAGAAGTGGTCTGAATGCAATGTCTCTTTGGCACTTACTGTTGTGCTGCAATGTAAAACATTACAGTTTCAGAGAAACTACAATGTTTACATTGCAACACTAAGCCTGTCTCCAATGACTGTCTACCAGACAGCCACTAGAGGGCTTCCTGCTTAGAAACGGACCTTCAATCCGGTATCTGACGCTGGTCGTCATCACGCTCTGCATGAGAACCTCCAGAGTCAGATTTTTGCCCAATTGTCACAGGACGGAGGAGCTTCAACCAGCAGAAAGGAAAAGTAACATGCTGAGCAAGGCGTGTGTGAAAGTGGTTGATTGTGGAAAGGAGTGTGTGAATGTGAAGAGTGGTGGTGACAATGGGTGGGAAGGGCCAGTGGTGCACATTTAGAAAAATTCCAACAACCCACACAGCTACATCTTCATACAGAGACATTCTAAATACCCTCCTGCAGTCACACATATACTGACACTCCTCACCAATACATCTCTGATTTCATACATACACAGGCCTCCCAACAGTCCCAAACCCAGCAGGACTATACCGATTTCAAGCTCCTGTCTTGCAATACCAGGTTTGCTCCGTGGTGTTCCATTTTTGTGGACTCCAGGGAATTATTCCTAGAAAGTGTAGTTTCTCTAAGGGCCCTAGAATCATTCTCAGATTCTGTTACTCGTTGTAACAAACAAATAGAACACATTGTTAGCCCTAAACAGGTCTGCCCAGCATGATTGACAGTCAGACAGGAATGCGTTCACTCAAAGCTAACATGACATTTTTTTAAACAGATCCGCAGGTCGTAATACTGATCACTCTAGACATATACACCCTGCATTCACACTGCCACTCCACACTAACATGCTCTCGCACTCAGGGTTATTTACTGAATTCAGAATTAAAAAAAAAATCTAAAGTGAGAATTCCAATTTCCAAGTAAATTTCACATTCAAGGTAAAAATAGCTAGATTGCAAATATTATCGAAAAGTCAGATATGCTTTCAGTACAGCAAGTACTTAAAGTTGGAGTTCCCTTAAGGTTGGAGTTCTTTGAATTCTTACTTTAACAAATAACCTTTTTGTTTACACACATACCAATACTCAATGCGAATTAAAAAAAAAACCAAACATAATGCAGTTTTGGCACGTTTGTACTAGTGAGAAACTTTTATTTCATTATACATATTCCCATACTTTGAAACTGTTTTTCTGTCAGACAAAATGATAATTTATTGCATTTCTCTTTATTCCCTAACTTTTAAAAATTATCATGTCTCCAGTTTCTTAATAGTCTTTGAATTACAATAAACTTCCAATGTTTATGATTCCTCTGGTGGGCTGTATGAACATGTGCGAAACACGGAACTCCATATAGTAATATCCTATTATAGTGATTTTGCTGTATTACAACTATGCTTCATAATCATCCTTTGAAGGATTCTTGCACGTAGCCCATATATTTTAGATCACATTTGAGCAGGTATTTAATATTATTTGTCTGCTACGCTGATAATTGTTTTATCTTAAAGATTACACAGCTTCCTAAACAGTCTGTTTAATTTAGAATTCCTTTCCTTTTCTCTTTCTCAATTAATAGCCTCCCAGAGCCTGTAGGAGCCTCCGGTGTGTGATTAAAGGTCAATTTACAGAGCAGGCTATAAAAACATCTAAAGTAAGTTAACATCTGATTGAAAATGAAACCATTTCTGTCACCCAGACTGTCAGTCACAGCCAGGGGAGGTGTAGTAAAGGCTGCATAAACAGAAACAAAAGTGATTTAACTCCTAAATGGCAGAGAATTGAGCATGAGGTATACACTAAAATTGCTTAATTGAGGTAATGTTGTTGTGATGCCCGTAGTATACCTTTAAACCCTTCAGGACACAACATGTGTGACATGTCATGATTCCCTTTTATTCCAGAAGTTTGGTCCTTAAGGGGTTAAAGACATTCTTGGCGTGTATTGTTATTGTAGAATGTTAAAGGGAAACTGTCACTATTTAGTAAATATATGAAAAATCCGCACCTCTTTATGGCACCCCCATTTTAGCTCCTGCATATAGAAAAGAGAAGAAATTAATCAATGTTTCACTATTTAAGGTTAGCCTTGCATGACCTGGATTATGATAATATTTGTTATTTTTTTATTTTTTTTATAAATCTTTTTTTTTTTTGAAAGACAGCAATTAACTTTGTGAGGCTCGCAGGCCTCAAGAAACATACATCAGTACATAGAGCGTGTACATTCTTATTTGTTTTACATATCCATATAATGTTATCAGTAATAATATAATATTATCACTTATTATATCTTAACTTTTATATGATAGCATTTCTAAAAAAAGTAGAAACAAAAGAAAGTCGGACAGTTTTCAAATAGAGCGTCTTCTCAGCGTGATTTAATGTCCTGCTGGCAGAACCCACAATCATTTTTGCTGACACTTACAAAATTTTACAGCCATCTCGGACTTTTTCCGACTTTGAAATATAATTGAAACCCTGATCAGCGGGGTATCTCTATAAAATCTGATGCTTAAATCCCAGCTTCTTGGATACATTTGATTTTTGGCCATGACACTTGGATTATAGATAGAGAACTGAATCATATTATTGTGTTGCAACCATAGGACCAAAAGCTTTTTTTTATCATTCATGTTGCTCTCAAACGTTTTGTGAGAGCAAATTGCAATTGGGATTTGTTAACTGACAGGGAAAAAAAAAATTGGTATAGCAAAAAAAATAAAAATATTTATTTATTTTGTGACGTTTTAAAATAAATTGACAAAATGTTTCTTTAAACACATTTTTATTGAGCAGAGTCAATGATGATATGATCATATAATGTATCACATGTGCACAGAAAAATTGCCGTACAAAAAGTATGAATCAAATAGATTCAAATGTCACAGTAAAAGCAGACTGCAATGAGATGCGTTTGCCAGCAAGAACTGTCTCTTGGAGTATGCCACGAGAAGCACTTCTACTGCACAAACAGAGTAAAATTTTGAATACAAAATCTGAATTTTATTTTTTATTGAGTCAGAGTGGATCTATATTGAACTAGAATAGAGACAAGGATGCTATAGCGTTAGGAATACAGGTTTCTAACAACTGCTTTAGCTTAAAACATAATATTTCTGAAATCATTGAATGGACATCACCACTCAAGCCTTCAGACAAAATGTTTCTAATAATATGACAAAAATATTCTACAATTTGTGAAGAATTAAGAAGCTTGATACTTTTTAAAATGATTACAGAATTGATGAGGTTTAACACCACATCTATATAAAACAGCAAAACTGTATATGATGGTTAAAGAGGCACCGCAGTCATCCACTCAAGTTAGGACGAAAATGTAGGTGAGGTTACAGTTAGTTATGATGGGTAAGTGATGTATCACATTTCTACAAAACCACAGCCTATCTGTTCCTCCTTCCCAACCTGAAGTGTTTTCCTTTTTGCTGAAAAAAATACTTCTGCACATGATGTCATGATAGAGTTGTAATCAGCTTTGAGCATTCTAAAATAGAAAGCTGAAAAATGTGTGTAGTAGGAAAACCTTGCTTGACCCTGAAATAACTACTTTGGATAATCTCTGCAGTATAGAAAGTTAAAGGGACATTCAGTAAGATGTTAAC